ATCCTGAAGTACCACTGCTCTACCCATATGAGCAGCAAAAAGACGTTTTTAGACCAAATGTTACAGATTTGAACAAATGCGCATTGTAGACAGTTTATCAGCTAAAAAAAGTTAATTTTGGGGTAAGTTACTCTTTAAACATCAGTGTGGTAGTAGCTGTGAGTCATTCACAACACATAATCTGAATGTTCATCTCAGCTTGACTAAAATTTTGCATCAATGTTGGAATTAAAAATGTTAGCTACATGTCTCATAAACCACTGGATGGATTTTATTTAAACATTTGTACTTTACAAACTATTCACTTCTGGAGTCAACACAAAACAAAATGGCTGCCAGAGCTGATCTAAAATGTATAATATTGATCTGAAATGTTGTGTGGTCGTAGCTGAGAGTCATTCATAAGACTTGCTGTCTGCTGAGGCRTGCAGGCATGATGGGTGAGGTAAGCTGTCTGCTGAATGGGGTCCACTGTTAGGGGGGTGGGGGGCATGTGGTGGGGTGCCACTAGGAGCAGAGCAGCATCTGTACAAAGCAGGAAACAAAAAACAAAAAGACAGAGACAAAGGAGACGCTCTCCCAGTTTTCCTTTCAGATGGTCTGGCTCAGGACTTTAGACCCGGGTCATGATGTGAGGAGCTGGATCCTAAAGATTTATACTAAACTATTATTTATACTTTTATTAACACTACATTGACTTACTCTGAAACTAAATCTCAAGTTCCAGGCTGAAAAACACCTGCAGTATACTGTATATAAAGATAAAAAAGCTTTTCTAACCTCACAGCTGAGAAAAGAGKTTTTTTCTTCTTGTTTTCCTTTTCTAATTGTTTGTAACGTTGTGTGTTTCAGTGTGTGGGACGCCCTGACTGACAACTACAATTCCACGTGGGACGGCCCCAACTCTGAGGGACTCAACGGCAATCTGTCCGACCAGGAGGTACAGCTGCTCCGTCTCTCTGCTCACTTTAACTGTACTTTTCTTTTTCAGTTTCCTGCATGTTTCTGATCTACGACTTTATTTATTTTCAAATCAAAACATTCAGCCATTCAGGAAATGAGTGTTGAAACTTGTTTTTCTGTACCTTTTTAAAACTTTGAATTAACAAACAGAATCTGCTTTAGCTTTCTTATGCTATTTTTGTCWACTTGCTTTTAGTTTTTAGCTCCTGTTGTGGTAGTTTTAGTTTTTTAACTATCATTGAGTTACTTTTGCTTTTTCAGTCGCCCAGGTTCTTCCAAACATCATATTCTGTTTATAATTTGTTTAGCAGTTGTGAAATTAGCAACGGATTAATCATTTCAGGTGTTAGTTTGTCCAGTTCTTTCTGCAAATTTGTTTTTTTTCTCTGTTTGGGTAGAAATAGACCTAATCCACTAAATGTTTTATATGCAAAACATTATCTCATGTTTTAAAAGCATGGGCACTTTAAAACAATATGGTACCACTTTATAATAAAACAGGTTATTGATGAGATTGTGAACATGTTATATATTGTTTATTAACATTTCTAAAGCATTGTTTAATGCGATACTTTACCAGTTGCTTGTTTTAACCAAATTACCACCTCATCATCAATATCATTAAAAGTGACTGAGTTATGTGTGTGTGGGGGGGGGGAGGGGAGGGGTTCGGCGTTGGTGACATTTGGGGTCAATTTTAAGACAAAATGCCTACCTTTGGGGACAACTGGTGCATTTGGGGACAAAAGTTGTGTCCCCATTTGGTTTAAATGCCATTGGTGGGTTGGGGGTTGGGTTTAGGACCAAGGTGTGAATTGAGTTTAGGTTAGTGTTAGGGTCAGGTAGGTACCTGTGAGGTTAGTTTTAGGGTCAATGGTCAGGGATAGGATATAAAGTTCAAAGAAAATGAATGGAAGTCAATGCACGGTCTCCACAGGGTTGAAGAACAAACACATACAGTATATACCAATTTAGAAAGTGTCTTTTAAAAGGCCAATTCTATTTGTATATTTGCTAGGTTGAAAAAAAGTTGTCAAAATATGAACAAAATGTAGATTAAGTATAAATTTGAGTATTAATTTAGGTTGTTTTATTATTTTTCATCTCTGTTAAAAGTGAATTATGTTATTAATGAATATTCACAGGCTGCTTGTGCTGAGACACTTTTCTTTAAGTGGGGGCAGATGCTATACGATTTTTTTCTTCTTTCTGCTCCTTTTCATTTGATGTTGTAGTTCTTACAAAAAGACTTTGATCAAAAAAAGATGTTGTAGTTCTTGTTTGTTTGGTTTTTTTTTTTTGTATTTTTTGTGTACTCCAAATGAAATAAACTATTAAGCCTAAAATGCTCTGCATACTTAAACCATGTTTATTGAAGAGTGAAATATTATCATGTAGAAGAATTAGTCAGAATTAATCACAAATGTGTTTTATAGCATGTAGCTCCTTTAGTAATGCTTTCTTTTACGGTACCCTTATTATCATGTAATTACGTGGTAATTAGGGTACAATTTTACTATGTAATAAATTATCTGCAGTAATGTAGCACTTACCTGGTAATGTATTACAATTCATTATGTAACACCTAAATAAGTAGTAGGTAATTTGGACACTAACCCCAAAATTTAGTTGCATTCTTTTGTTTATAAATATAGTGTTGAGTTACTATTGAATAGTAATTTAATTGTAGTTACCCAATAAAGGTAGTTTTATTAACAGTAGTTTTTCTTTTGAACCGTAATTTACCACGTAATTACATGGTAATAAGGGTACCGTACAAGAAAGCGTTACCGCTCCTTTATAGCAGCTTGGAGCTTCATTATGATCACATTTTGTCTTCCAATCTGCAGATTCATGAAAAGGAGGAGGAGGAGATGAACGAGAAGAATGAGAATGCCAACAGTCTGAATGAAGAGCCTCTCATCACAGCTGATCAGGTCTGTGGGAAACATGGAAAATAAAAAAAGCACATTCACTTAAAGCTCTTTTTAAAAACATTTGTGTAGACAGTAATTAGTTTAAATAAAGTGGACAAAAATGTTTTTGCCCTTACTGTTGGCAAAATTTCTCATGAACCACTGGACAGGTTTTTTTAATGAAACTTACAGAAAGTGAAAGTTCCTTTACATCTGCCACAGAATCAACACTAGCTGACACAAATGACTGTACAGATATTAATTAAACTAAATTCTGATGTTTGTAGCTGAGCGTTAAAAACAAGAATTTATTCATGATTAATAGCTGAATTAATTCTGATTGAACCAGTAAACTTTAGGTCAAAAGTGTGATTGAGTTGAGAAATCATGAAACTGACAAACAGACACCAAACTGGAGTTTAAACAAACGAATTAAACCAAACATGGGATGAGAGAAGGAAAACTTACTGAGGATGAATTAAAATATTTAAGTGAGCTAATTAAATTTTGGAGTCAAACTGATTCAGGATGATGATAATTAACATCAAGTGACTGTTGTGCTGATGAGAAATGATAAAATGATACAAATGTAACCGGTGACGTGTGGTGAGATACATGGCTGGTGAGGCACTGCCTCTTTCAGAATCAGATTTACAAATATTTGAATCCTATAGAGTAGCTTATTCACCATATTATTA